GCATACTATATATATTATTGATGAAAAAGGGACTATACCTTGATAGTTTCATATCTTAGAGAGACTTTATTCAAAACTTCTGAAATTTTTTATGCAAACTAGTCTAGCTGAGGCCTTTATGCAGGCAAAGTTTCAGGTCAACATTTGAAAGTATAGCTTTGCTGCCACTGTAGGCGTACAATAAAGAAAATTCACTAAGAGCTCGATATCTCCTCAGAAACAAGCCAGAAACCCGAACTTTTTTTACTGTAAGCATAACTCACTACGGGCTACAAGATGCACGAAACCCCGATTGAAAAGCGCTCCCGCACCTTGGAAGGTTCCCTAGTAAGTTCATTTGCCTAAGATTCATATTTTATTTTTGTTTCGACTTTCCTGACATTCTCTATTAGAAAGTAGAAAGAATGATGACGCTGACTGATAATGTGCTGTTGTAATGCGTATACGCATAGAGTGCGCTATAAATATCTTTGCGACAGAAAAGTTTAATATGTCAACTATTTTGAGGATGAGGGTGAGCGCAGCGTCAGTGTTCTTTCTATCGTTTTTGAACAGTCAGTTCAAAAAGGCTAATATTTTAGTTTTAGTGTGTCAAGACCATAAGCTTTCATTTTAGATACCAAAATCGACAATAATTTTTTTCCCCTATACAATGCACTTACGGTTCGTCAATTCTATGGCGGATGCTCTCATAAGTAACAGAACTTAAATAGACTTAAAATTTTCTTATAAGTTAAAGAACATGACTTTTTTCACTACAAAAGTTATTATTGGCTACTTGAAAATTATACACCTGTTAGTTTGTCTCAGATTCTCTATTATCAGAATGTCACGAAGAGCAGTAGAGTTGCAGATTATTAGCTGACGTTGCTCCCTTTCTAATCTAGAATGCACAGTGAACAATGGTTTTCTCTGTGGGTGTGAGTGTCGATGTGAGCCTCAACAGAAAACCATATCTACCCTAGCATCCATATCCGCACCGACACACTTTTCAACTGAACTAGATCTTTGACAGATGACTTGCACAAAATATTCTCTACATGTTCCTATACAAACATTGAGTTGCGTCAGTTCAAGCGACCTTGATACCCATTAAGATAAATTGTTTTTTCTGTTATACTTGTTTGGAGAGATGTTCTCAAGGGGAAACAGCAGACTTTTGTACTTCAAGTACTTTGCGCTACTCTAAGCTACTTTAAGGTACGTTAAGCTTACTTCAAGTAGAGTACTTTGAAGTACTTTTCAACTTCAAGTCTGCTGTTTTCCCTTTGGATGTTCTTCAGAAATGAACAGACTTTGCGGGGAAACGTCGTCTTCGTGAAATAAAATGAAGTGTATCTAGCATAATCTTCTTATTGCGAGACTAAAAACAAAAGGCATAAAGGCTAGCGAAATCTTTGGGTGTGAGTTTGAGGTGTGTGACTGAGGATGTGAATCTTTAACTCATCCACATCCACCCACACTCACACTCAGACCCACACATCCGCACCCAGTTATGGCACTCGCATAATGCTGGGTGTGGGTGTGGGTGAGATTAGATCTTCCCTTTATTATTACCCACACCCACACCCACACCCACACCCATTTCATCAATAATAAAAGATTAGTTCACTTATTTATTTAGTATTTATTATTCGCAAAAAGAATATATATACAAATACTAGTCATTTATAAAAACTGTACTAGAAGGGTACTTTAGATATAAAAATATTTTTTTGAAACTTTTTAAAATATTGTTTCATTACCATTTCTTTATTACAATCCTTATGAAAACTTTCTTTATAATTTGTTTTGCCCACTTTACGTTTCTTATAGTTATATTCAGAATTATATACATACCAAGATAATTTAGCGATTTCTTTGATGCAAATGCAATTATACGATCAGGATCAGCTGAGTCGTGAATAAGAAGTGGTTCGTTTGATAAGTTGAAACGAAAGATATCTGGTATTACAAATGTACGTATATTTGTTCGTTTCGGAGACGGTGGCAGTATTTGTAAACGTTTTCGATACCCTGTAGATTTAAGTTGCTGAAACATTGGTAGTTCAACTGCTGTTCCATATTGACGCCTCTAAAATTGAAATTATGATTAAAAAAACTTCAAATTTTAAAATCTACAAATTTCTTTGCTATTTGATCGTAAATTCGAGGTAGTGGTGTTTTTATATCAGAAATAGCTTCTTGTTGAAATTCATGTACCATCTGCACAATATGAAACGGTCGAACGCGTTCTTCATGTCGATGATTTCCTCTCATAAATTTTATCTTATCATTAAATAAAGTTACAGATGCATTACAACGTTCGTCTGTGCATGTAAATCTAATAGAACCATTATTATTACGTTTTTGAATACGATACACGTTAGTGTCAATTTGAATTGCTGGTGCACCTCTTTGAGTTTTAGTCCAATGAAATTTAATTTGAGTATTCATTAAAATCTTGCCAATTCAAACGAACAATATATACTTTTAACGGTATTTGTTTTCTGTAAATGTGTAAATGCTCAACTGTATAAAAACGTTTACAACAAAAATATAGTAGATTTAAATTAACAAAATTGCAGAAAATTGTTTCTCTAATCAAAAATAAATTTTCAATATTAACGGAGTAATAAATATAAGTAAACATACCACAATGGTCTTTCGATTGATTATATTAATTTTAGGAAATAACAAACAATTTTTCTGTAAGCTTAAATTTGTATATTGTGAGTATTTATATTAAATGTTACCCATGATTAAAAAAGATAGTCAAATGCATAGTAATAGATGTCAGGATAATGAATCATATTGATAATTAAATGATGAAACGACAACGTTAGATTAGAAAAAAAAATGACATACTTAATCGGTAGGGATAGTGCATTAATATTTGTTCTTATTTATTTTAAGCTTCATCCTTAGTCGGATTAGTGTAGCAAGTCGAGCATTGAAATCTATTTAAAAAATATTCAATAACTTTACAAATATAAAAATACAAATATATATATATATATCTGTAAAATGAAACTAATTTTAAAAATGAACTTAAAACATAAGCAAAGTCATATTTAAAAAAATTATGAATTACAGAAAATATCTTCGAATTAATTTTTATTGATGTCTGATCGTAACAGGTTATTTAAAAAAATCTTTTGAAAAAATAATTCGTTTTCATTATATTTCAAGGCGCCTATACTGTAAAATAAACAAAGTACCTGAAATGAGACTCTCTCATTTATCTAGGTCATTGATCCTATGCACATTTCTAAAGCAACTACTATGTCGTGGCCGATAAATGCACTGAAAGTATGATTGCTTTTGAACTGCTCTTATGTTTCTTGAACACATAATAAGGAATTATTCTGCCTAAAAATATAAACTAATTTTTACTGCAATTCACAACATTTGATCATTGAGAAAATATTTTATTAAATGACGACAATTTATATGAAAACGCTTGACTTGTTTGAGAGAAACAAGTCAATATTGCTCTCATAGAAATGAAACACTGATAGGTAATGCTATATGATTTCAAGGTATAATCCGATCTTTTTATTATCGTATATTATAGTAGAGATATTCAAAAGGTCTTTGATTTCGTATTGAATATTACTTGAAACTCGATTTTCATTTTTGGATTTTCTTGAGATTGTGGGTGAATCTGTGGGTTTGGATACACTTTCAACCTTGTCAATAGTGATCGGCTCTGATAATTCCGTGTAGTTCCTAGTAACCGATCATCGTCTTTAGCGGTCTCTGGGTGACTCTATAAACACTTCTTTTCTATAACGTATAGAAACTTTGAGTTATTTTGTAATTCATTTTCTTCATGAACTCTTCTATGCTTACCAAGAACCATTACATCGCTCAATCGTTCATTAATTGTTAATCAATTTTATTCCATTGTTATCTGTTAGTGGTTTTTAATCGTATACATCTAATGTGAGCGCTTCTTCTAGATTTAAGTTTTGAAACCAATTTTTTCATGATTTGTTTTGGATTGCATATATTTACAACCCATGCTGTTGTCATCAAGAAACAACTAATAAGAATACGCTGTGGCATAGACGATTTTTCAATCAATCTAGGAACTTTAATCAGTTTGAATTGGATTATTTTGGAAAAAAAAGTCGAACATTTGCATAAAAAATTTGATTTACACACCGATAACCAGAAATAAACTGGGTTTTTTCAGGAATATTTTTCACTGGAGTGAGTAATGCGCTTCATTTCATTCAAGAAACTGTAGAAATAACATTCACACCCTCAATAGATGAAATTGAAAAATCAATATAACGAAAAGATGACACAGCAGTTTCATCAAATATAAATAATAAAATTCAATTTTGTATAAGTTTACCTTTGTTTTGGGAATTGACATATTAAAACGAAGACTTGGAAACATTAAATATTAGTCATTATTCTACACATTCAAACAAACCTTAGCCTAATTTTAATTGCTCAGTATGAATTTCACTAACGAGGAATGGTCCCCACCTGTCTAATCGTTTTAGACATAAAAACTAGTGGATCATAGGTAATTAATGGTTCTGAATCCGAATCTGCCCTTGGTTTGTGCTGCTAGACCTTCCAAGTACTGGTTTTCCAGAAAACCAGATATCGACAGAGGAAAACCCTTTGTACGCATGTGCAAGCGTACAGAGCAAAACTTTAGAGCTACATATCTAGCATCCTCAGTAGTCGCTCAGAAACTTCCGAAATCAGTTTCCAAGAAATTTCTTCACGCCCTTTATCAGACAGAAGATCAAAAAAACATTTTTCGAAAAAAGTTTTTTCTCTGTTGATACGTGGTTTTCTGGAAAATTAGTACTTGCAAGGCCTAGCAGCACAAACCAAGGGCAGATTCGGATTCAGAACCATCGATTACCTATGTTCCACTAGTTTTTCGATCGAAAACTATTTGACAGCTGGGGCCCATTCCTCGTCAGTCATCCGCTGTACAGTTATTGATGCAAGAGATTTGTTAGTCATACTATTCTGTGCAAGGAAGCACAAGCCGTTCAAGATGATCAAGAATAACCAAATGAAAACATTGATTAAAAAGAAAATGGTTTTTATTATTATTTTTTGTTTGCACATGAGATATAAATCATGAATGGATTCTAACTTGTTTCAGGTTTCTGTCAATGATTAAATCTATTGAACAATGATCAAAACTGAACTATTCTTGCACATTTCTATCAGTTGAAAAGCAATACCTGTTAATGAGTCAACTATGGATAACGTAAACAATATCTATCTTATAGCTTTAGACCAGAAAAGTTGTTAAGCAAAAGTAACTCAAGAACGACCCAAGAAATTCATTCTATGTTATGGATGAACTGTCCGCAGTGATGATTTTAATATATTAGTAGAGGTGGATAGTTTTATAGTTCGATCCCGCAACATGAACACGTTTCAAAAGCTCCTTGATTGAGCCAAAAAATCGTTTCAATTTTATAAAATAAGATTAAATATAGGCTGTTTTCTCCATAGAAAGACGACTATAATCAATACTTAATTGATTAATTATGTACAATGATAGATGACAATAAAATCGATCAATTGAATTACTAAATCAAACGAGTTTTCATCAATTTAATTTAGCTAATATTTTTCATAATTTCTGTAAAAAAATGGATAAACACTGAATACTATACTCATTCTGTATGGCCATGTGTCACCAAAGAGCTATACATTTTGTAGGCATGGCTACTAATTAGTAAAAAATTCGCTAGAGCTCAAGTAATAGGTCATGCAACTGCTATCTGGTCGAGGCGCAGGAACCAAAACTATAGTGATTAATTTGTTAATAGGAACAGTGCACTGTTCTTATCATCTTTTCTCTTCATTTCTCGCAAATCAGGAGATTGAGATATATACTTTTCCCTATATTATTCTAGATTTGCAAGAAAAGAATCAGCTTTCAGTAGAACGCAAAGCATCTTCAGGAATAAGATACAAACAGAGCATTTAATAATGATAAATTTTGAAATAACCATATTCATAAAGTCTTACATTGAGATGAGAATTGATGTTCTTTTTATTCTATAGCGTGCTAATATGAATGCAAAACAACGTAATGATGTTATAAAAGAATTTCGAATGGGTTTCGGTCCTGATCAGGCCGTGATAAGCAAACATGTTTAGTCAGAAAAAGTCTTTTTTCAAAATGCCATGCGTCTTTCGAGATTTGGTCAAAACCAATCGTTAGAAATTAACGACCAATCCATAATAGTATTTGTCGTTCGTTGATTAGTTTGAATGTAAAATTTTTTAAATGAGTATGTCTCATCAACCATTGTTTCAACTCATCATTGCTATCGAAATAATATGTTTGAATATGAACAGTAAGATTTTGTAAGAATTGAAGATTTTCAATAAGTACTTCGAAATCTTCTTCGCTATAAAGATAACAATTGAGTAAATGTTTCAGACATGGAAATACCGAACAAAATGTGGTTCGACTTTTACCGGGCAAATATCCACGTCTCATATCCAGCCAACGGATTTGGGGATATGTCAAATCAAATAATCCGCGCATGTGATTGTGAAAAGATGAGATGGTCAGACGAGTAAGTCGAGGTGCAATGTTGAGAAGTTGAGTCAACACCGAAGAAGTCATCGCGCACGTGTCATCTAATTTCAAATGGACAAGTGTAGATAAATTATTGATATATCTTTCAAGTTCAATCAAATTCGATACTGTATAGTATTCATTGGTAGGCGTGGCGTGTTCTAATGTTAATAATTCCACATTGGAGGCACGATTTTCCGGTAGAATCGGTGAGTCACCGGATGATAAATTGATGCATAATGTTTTATTTGATATAATTTGTTGTTTGCAATCAATAGGCAATGTATCGAATGCCGACATGACACCAATGATAAACGATCGATATCGTCCTTCATTGTTCGTCCAAAATGTGGTTTGAAAACTTTTGAGCAGATCTTTTGTCACAGACAAATCAAGTGAAGAGTTAAGGTCAATCTGAATGAAGAACTAATGAAGTAAATCAAAACGAACTCTAACATACCCTTAAACGAAACATCTTCAGTTGAGGCAAAAATTCATCAATTAACGATTGCCACCAGTTGCCATCGAGCCATTGATAAGTATCCGTTTGATTTCTTTCGATATGAATATTCAAATACATCAAATTGAAACACGATTGAATAATGTGTTGGATTTCATTTCGAAGACCGAAGCTGACTTTAATAGTCAGATGAGTTAATGAATGAGGAACATTGAATCTTGAAGAAAAATCATTATCAACCGATGTTGTATTCAGACTGATGGTTAGCCGTTGGATATTCGGTACACATTTGAAAATGAACGGAAGATTATCTATTGTTCGTAGATGAATTTGAAATTTATTCAGATGTTCACCGATAAAGAATGTGTTGAAATTAAGACGAATATTTAGTGATTTTTTGTTCAAAACGAGAGCACGTAAAGTCGGAAGACGACAAATAGTGGCAAGCTTATCATCAAATTGTTGAATATGAGCATATTCAAAAGAATAAATTGGCCATCGGATAAAATCAATTGCTATTGTATGAAGCGATGTCATATGAGATAAACTAGGGAATTCTTGAAAATTTCTTATATAAAGATATTCGAGTCGAGTAAAAGTTTGTTCAAATCTTGGAAAACGAGCAAAAAAACTAGTCACCTGACCAGGTGTTTCTTCATCATCGGATAGAGCCAATGCCATCATTTGATCAGGCCGAATAACGTTACATATTCGATCAAATTCATTTTTAGATATCGATGTGAAATTTATTTTATATTGTTGATAACTTCGTATACATTGTCTTAAATATCGACTGAAGCTATAAAACGAATGAAGAACTTCGATAGTAGTTAAGTATGTGAATATATCGAAGATAATTTCGACTGGTAATTGATCGAGAAAAAGGTGTGGAATATGCATAACTGATCGACTATACTGAAAATGACAGCACGATAAAACGTCTTACTTCATCGACATTACCTAATAAGGAATTGTATGCAAATGGTGCACATGGCAGACGATAGAAGACAACTTCATAGAATAAAGAACGACAAAAGCAACATTGTTTTTTCTACCGATGCACAGAATGAAAGAAAAAAAAGGATCTAACTTCCTCTTTTCATGTGCGGTCTCACGACACTATATATCATACGACGACACATCATTACGAAGAAAACCAAGAAAAATAAGACAGTTCGATTATTTGGATTGCTTATTTTTGCACATTGTTAAGAGTTGTGTTGTTTATTCTTCCAGAAATTAAACAACACAAAACAAATCAGCTAGAATCCAGTGAAAAGAAAAAGATAAAGAATGGACCAACGAAAAAGATATATCTACGTATATCTATGCATATAGAAGAACAACGAAAAACATAAAGAAAGGAGGAGAACGAAGATGTATGACTGTGTAAGATATACAGATCTTAACCAACATAGATGTCTCTTTTCAAAAAAAAACTACAGTCTTTCATTAACTTGTCATGAATGTTACTGTGTGTAAAATCGATTTAGTTGAAAGAAACCCAACTGACATCATCATAAGACATTGGATAGGATATGAACCTTCTGTCAACCCGCAGAGCATTCCGAAAGTGAGGTTTTCCACTCCCGATAGGTGTCTGTTTTTGCATTTGCTTTCATAGATTTTATAGATTGCAACCGTTCTCCAAATCTAGATCTATAAATTATGGCTTAACAGACACAAGTTTCTTGCCATTATTTTCAAACTCTTCTCATCGACAAATGATAAATGCAATAGTAGATGAAGCGTCTCTCTCTCTCATTTTCTGACTATTATGATGAAAATTGATTATCATCAGATTTTTTTTGTCGTTTTCGTTTTACATGGGAAATTGATCTTGTTTGTACCACCTGTGAGTAAGAAACACTTTTTAAGTGCATAATCAAAAGTAAGATACGCATTTAAATCAATACTATCTATTCTTGTAATCTGCAATGGCATTCATAATTCTGGTGATCTTGACGTTTATCGTGTCTACTGCAAACGTCATGTTAGATCAACGAACTGAGAGTGATTGCAAGGCCAGAACGGCATCTACTTCGCAGTGTGTACAAACGATATATTCCACCTGCGCCGATACAACATTTACTGTAGATCATCAAGCTTTTCCTAATAATTGTTCGCGTTCTATGATTTATTGGGATTCACCGGTTGGTAATATGACAATTCTATTTGAAAGTCATATCCTAGTCCCTTATCAGTTATGTCTGCAACTATACGGATGCACAACCGCCTTTCATACGATTGACAATGAAAATGAGGTTGCTATTACTTGGGATCTATTCAATCAAGTACATGTTTGCTTTAATAATAATTGCACAGATAGATCGACAGTGAAGTTTCATTTCTATGTTGGAAAGCAATCCCAATGTTATGGAACACTCATTCCTTTTTCTTATCGGTTATAATAATTCGTTGATATTTCTCTTTTCAAGACATCGATTGATATGATCAGAGCACTGATATATATCGACAGTAGATGAAGTATGATCTCTAGAAATTACAAAGTACCATTTATTTACTAACTAAGGGTGAGGATGAAGATAGGGGGACACAAAATTAACAGTGACAGTGGTTTAAAATATCGATACACTTCAATAATCTTTATCAAAAATACTGAAAAAGATTCGAGAAAAGAGTCACTACCTTCGCTGTTTGAATTTCATAAGCTTGACACACTATAAAAAAGGTACTCTACCGAACCTAAAAAGGTTCTTCAACCTGATGCACAGTCAGATCTTTTTCTGGTTCCGTAGTAAAGGTTGCGCACTAAACCTTTTTTCCCTTTGAAATTAAGGTTTCTTACAAAGGGTTGCATCCTGACTCTTTTCAACAAATTAAAATAAAACGACTCGTATTTCCGCGCTCGTGAATACGGCCTTCTACGGCCAGAAAACGGATCATATTGAATCCGTATACGCTCGTAAATGTTCCGTTTTGATGACGTTTTCGGTTCGTTTTTTCGATGGTATACGATGCCGTTTTGATTACCCCGAGAATGTTAGAAATAATGACAGTATAATTATTTATGGATCATCCGATAGATAATGTTTCTCTGGCACGAAAAAACAGTTATCCATCTTAAGCTCAATTTTTAATCTGTAAGTCTGATTTTTTTACGCTCAGATTTTGAAGAGAAGGCAAATACTTCTCTTTACATAATAGTGTGTCCTTAAATATGGTTTGTCATAAAGCATGTTGAGGGTAATTGTGGAAGTAAGAATAACGAGAGAAACATCATGTTCACCCTCACCCTTAATCTCAGTTGTGAATACAAAGAAATTTAATCATGAAATTGATTATCATGAAGTCAATATTGTATTATGTCATTTTAGATTTCGAAGAAACACGTGCAAGAAGTGGTTCGACTTTAATTAAAATCGGATGATTAGGATAGAGTACATGACGGTAAATATTAACTGCTTTTTCGAGATATAAGACTGCTTGTTGCCATTCTGTTTTACTTTCATAAATGAGACCAATATTCGTAAATGTCATTGCAATATCAGGATGTTGTGAAGGCAGACAATTTTTCTTAATATTAAGTGACATATTTAAATGTTCTAAGACGAGATCCAAATGATCGAGACTCAAATGTATCGCACCAATATTATTATGTAGGACACCTACTTGAGGATGATTATCAGGAAGATGTCACTGATAAATAATTAAAGCTTTTTGCAAATATTCGAGTGCATCCGAACTTTTCCCGTACATTTGATAGATACCAGCTATATTACTTAAACATTGACCAATATTCGGATGTTCTTCACCTAATGCTTGTTTCCAGATCTTCAATGCCTTCAAATAACAATCGAGTGCTTCATCATAATTATTCATTTTCGAATGAACAGCAGCTATGCTATTAAAACTAGTTGCTATTCTGGAATCAACCGATTTGAATATTTTTATCATGCTTTCAAGTGCTTTATGATGCCAATCAAGACTCGACTGATAATCACCTTTATCATCAAATAAATTACCAAAATTATGATAACAAGCACTGATATCTTCATAATCAGTTGGATTTATTTCTTTTAATAGACGGCGATAATATTTCTCTGCTTCATCATATTTACCCATTTGTGCTAATATAAAGCCAAGTGAAAGAATAGTTGTTTCACCATTACGATATTGATTTTTCATATAATCAAAAACAGCTTGTAGATCAGGATCACTATTATTACATAATGTTAATCGAACGATCCAAATTCCGCGATCATTTTGATCAATGTTGACTAAACGAAAGATCGATCCTAACATAAAAAGTACTTCTTCTTCACCGGGAAAATAACTAAGGGTGGTAATGTTAGCGAATGGTCGGATACCTTCCAGTCGAGGATCGCCATCAATTTCAAATAATATTCTTTGCATATTATCTGATACAGTTGAAGAATAAAGAAAAGATAGAGCCAGTCGACGATCGATACTTATTGAAAGAAATGGATTCATTGAAATTAATTGTTCAATTGAATCTTTCAATAATTTGAATTCTTCATTTAACATTAATTGACCTCGAAAAACACGAATAGATGATGAACATTGATGTTTTTCGAGTTGTTCTTGAATATCACGAATAAAAAAACGAAAAATAAATAATAAATCAATATTTTGTACACGAAGAGCTTTGCTCAATTGTCGATATAAGAATGATTCACGTGTATACCACCAAATTGCTCGATCCGATGAATAATTTTCTTCAAATTCATGAACAATAGATAATTCATTTTTGTTATCTTTATATTGTTTTTTCTATAATGAAATCATTTCGTCTTTATCAGTTGAAGCTGCTTTCATTCGAAGTAAACAATTAATCAGTAATTGTGAATGGATGAATTGACCATTGAGACCAGTCGTCGATTGTTCATCAGTAGAACTTGTATTGAATACATTTAATACAAGTTGTTCTTCGATTTTCTTAGCTCCTCGTCGACTATGATCCATTTGAATTAATTCAATAAGATCATTGAACTCACTGATTACACCTTTCACCTACAATACACAAATAATAAAAAGTTCTCTATTATAGATGTTATTATATTTACTTTTGCATATTTCTTCCTCTATTCTGTTTCTATTTTTTAAATTTGTATCATAAATATAGATTGATGATATTTGTTGTAGTTGATGCAGACGTGGTACGATCACTTGACCTAAATGATTATTTACAATGCAAATAATTCGATCATCTTCGAATATTTTTAAATGATTGATACACTTTCGAAGTTGTTCTTCAATGTTGGACTCATCTTTACAACTCTCATCAAGCCAAACAAGAGAAAAACTTTCGAGATTTTCATCTACTGACGCCATACTTGCAACAAACGCAAAAAGAAATGATATTTTCACTCAGATATTTTTCTTTTCAATAGCGCACGGTTTTCACATACAAAGAAAGAAAGAAAAAGAAATTGTTATTACATTTTTTTCTAAATGCAGCGCAGCAAACATGTAATTAAACTCACCGAGAAAAAAGTTCTTTTTGTCGTCATGAGAAACTAAGGGAAAAAATATCGAGTAATTCTTTCTTTCAAAACAAAAAATAGGTCACGACAAGTTGTGAATTGAAAGAGAAGTATTTTAATCAATCAAGCACCGATTAGACTTTTTGTGATAGTACAAATCATTTCTCATTGACACCAACTTTATGTAACATGATGACCTGGAACAGAGATCATTGCATATCATGAGTTGCTTATTTATTAGAAAAACCTTCCAATAATTAAGAAGAATATATTTTTCAAAATATCTATTTTAATAACCAAACATCAAGCAACTCGATGAATTATTTTGCTATGGAATCAAACAAAATGTATTACTTCGGAATAGATTTGTTCGGATCACTTATTATCATTTCAAGCAGATGACGATGTTCGTTTAAGGCAAATTAAATTTCGACCTATCTCTCAAATAGTTCACATGCTACTAACATCAACAGATGATTTGATTTGTGAGATGGAAAACTTCACGATCAAGTTACTTACTATCAACATTTTCTGTTATTCCTCTGGTCAAATCGAAACAATTTCAACGAAAAAATAATTGACAGTGTTACCAATGATTGATTATTCTGTTCCATAAAGATTTAAATAATAAATGTCTTTGTCTTTCGATGTCAATGACAAAATAAATGGATTCATTTAACATTTGAAGATGTTATTAGTAAACGAATAAAAATTCTTCATATTTCTATCCATATGATTCTGGTTATTCTCGTGTTCAATGTCATGTAAAATATAATTGTTCATGTTCATTCGATTCCTATTGCTTAACTTCCGATTTAGTACGAATAATTTATATGAAAATAATGGATTATGTGTTTCAAAGGATGATCGAATTGAGATTGAATTTAATGAAGAAATGATTCGAGTAGTATTGATTGGCTTTGGACATTTGATAAGAGTATTTGAAAATTCAAAACATCAATTGATTACAACAATTAAGAAAATTAAATAGAGAATGAAGAGAATTACCACTGATATAATACAATTATTTTATATTTTGCTTATTGAACTTTCTCAACGAAATTATTATTTCATTGTCTTACGAGAAAGATTTATTCCGTCGAAATATATACAAATAGAATTTGTAATGGAATCAACGATGTTTATTTATCGAAGAAATGATTAATTTAACGTTATGATCGTATTCGCATTTTCGATCGAGTAAAATATGATCCATTATTATGTTGAGAAAATTCTGAATTGAAATGTTTTTATAATGAATATTATATGTGTATGATTGTTTTTATGGAAGTAAATGTCAGTTCGATAGGAAATATTGTATTTTATCTCTCGATTATAATTCCTGGTTATCATATCAAACCGAAATTATCATTTTCTCAACAACCATCGTTGATTAAAGTGAGTGCGTCATTGTCATTACATTGATGTCTATATTGGGATTGATTGGTGGATTTTATCAATATTTACATTTCATATGAAGAAAACACGAGATGTTGGATCGGGGTTTTATTTATTGATTAATTCATGAATATTGGTATGTTTATTATTTGTATTAATATTCAAATTTTCTCAATTGATTTTATTACAAATGGTTATTCGTATTAACCGATTATTTTTGACTATCAATTGTAAAGTATTAGATACGATGATTCGAATTCTTCTTGCAACCAATGATTGGTTAAATGGATGTATTTCCATGTAACGAGCTGTAACTATTATTCAAGGTGTTGAATTTAAAAATCTCGAAGTAAACGAATAGCTAAATGGATAACACCAATTGTTATTATTGTAACAGTTTTCGCTCATCTTCATGATCCTGTTCATCGTCATTTGATTGATGATATTAATGTTGATGAACAACGAACTTAGTGTATTGTTGAATATTCTTCATCAATCAATACATTTAATTCTTTGATTATAAAAGTATGTTCTCGTTTTACAGCACAACAAAGATTACCATTCAAAGAATATTTGCGATTACAATTTAAATAAGATAAACATTCTCTTATAGTCTCATTTGCACTTGTATTATCAGTCTTACGTCGATTGATTATTTCATCTGTAAGTATATGTATATCTCCATGGCATTCATGGTTATTTCATTTTGCTTATTTAGTTTCATTTTTACCGTCAATGAAGACATTTATTGTCGATGTGTTACCATCGAAATTGTACAAAGATAAATTTGGTATAGTTGTGACTCAAACTATTCGACAATATCGTGGTATTTTATAATTCATTTTTTCAAGTTTAACGAGAGAACTTTACCAACTGACCAACATATCGTACTGATGAGCAAATTATGAACTGGAACGGAGCTTGTTAGTTGATAAAATTTTCTTGTAAAATCATCTGAATCTGCTTATATGTTGTTCTTGCTTAATGTACTATTTTGAGAAGTGCACAATAAATATGTAAGACGCTCATACNAAAAAGTTTGGGCAAGCCTACAAGATATCGCCGCGTTCGTAAACACTCAATATCGCTATTCGGAAAAAGAATAAATTTTTTGTTACAAGAGAAGTAAACGTGAGAACTTCTTCAAATAAATTTAAAAAAGACTAGCAAAGATAAGAATGTAATTGCCGCTACCAGTATCAAGTTTATTGAGATATTTCTGTATTAACGCAGAATATCCTGAATCGTAAAAGAAGGAAACAAGTAAACTAAAATGAATCGTTACGAATTAACACCAAATGAATATAATTAGTCTTGCCATTGTTCTTTTACAATGTACGCTTATAACTGTTTTTTTAGAAAGTTGAGAAATGGTTGATGTGATAAAAAAAATGTGTTTCGCAGTTCACTTATAGTGATTTCAACTCATTTTGTAAGCGCTTTGTGATCAGAAAAGAGAAAAAATATTTCAGAAACTAAGATGAATTAGTAAACAATGTTTGTTCTGATCGTTCGGAGATAGTCACTGGTCTTTCTGAATATTTTTTCATTTGAATCATGGGAAACGCCGAAATATAAGAAAACAATAAAACATTTTCAGCAAGTTTCATAGGAAGTGCTGTAAAGTTCTTAGAAATCACAAAAATCACCGTGTTTATAAGCAGTTTTTCGTAATAAGCGGTGGAAAGCGCTTAAAGTAATAAACATTTACAGCGCTTTTCAGCACTTATCGTGATAAGTGCTGGAAAGTAATTAAAAATATAAAGGTTTACGGCGCTTTTCAGTACTTTTCGTGATAAAAGCTGGAAAGCGCTTATCAAAAACCATTCTAAGCTATATTAAGCGGCTTAATAGATTAAAGTCGCTTTTAGAAGCTTAAGAACGCGATGTTTAAGCACTTTAAAGCACTTAATTGTAGTGAAAGCTTATTTAAGCCGCTTAAAAACAGCTTACAAAGGCAAAACTTTTCACATGGGTAATATCAAGTCCAATTCAGCTGCTTACCAAGGAACAAATGGAACATTTACAATCGGCTCTGCAACTTATTTTCCATCAACGACTTTTTTAAATGGTTATATAGATAATGTTAAAATCCAGTCACGAGCGAAATCTGTAACAGAAGTTTTAACTGCTGCATCATTGATCGCCTACTATTCATTTGATTTACCTAATCCAAATTATGATAATGGCCCAAATTGATTAAATGGTTCATCAATAAATACAGCAACAGTTACTGGACGCGTTAATCAAGGGATGCAATTCACTGGTTCATCATCTTATTTTCAAGCATATGGATTTTATCAAGCCGGATATGGAGTTGTTTACAACAAACCATTTTCAATTTCAATGTGGATTAGTGCGTCGTCATATTCCAGTTGTGCATTTGTTCAAATGTCAATATATTATTATTCTACTTCATGTGTTAATATGCTTGGCATTTGGTCATCCACTGGCAATGCAGCTCAATTAGTTGCACAAGGTTATGGTTGGATCAATTGGTTACAAATTGGATACAATTTTGGGTGTTCAGGTAATTATATTTCGAATGGTGCATTTCAAGGAATCATTGATGAGATGATTTATGTTCATAATCGAGAAATCACGGCAACAGAAGTCTATGCACTCGCTAATCCTTAAACTTCCTTCGAAATCAAGTTTCTCGATCTATGACGACACATTTTATTCAAACTTCACATTTGTTTGGTTTTGTCACATCGCTAATTCTTAATAAAAACTTCTTCGAAATCAAATATTAAGCTGCAAGTTGTCTCACAAACATTTTTTCAGTTCTTAGTGTTTTTCTCACACATGAACAAAGCGAAGTTCTCGTCATTCTTCCTATCAATTTCAAATGAGATCGGTCCTGTTTAGATCTTCACATTCTTAGTCATCAAATTGTGTCAATCGAAGTCAATGTCTCACAGGATTGGTGAACAATGAGCACGAGGAACGATGAGCACAAGAACGTTCAGCACCGACACGTTAAGCACGAAAAATAAACATGAAATCTAACATGAAGTTGCTTGCAAGAGTGCGCATGTGTGGGAGTTGAAAGTACTCCCTTCACAACCACAACCATACTCTACATACAGAAACTAACACACACAGTCAATCAAAGCCCGTACCCCTACAACCACACGCAAACGTCTACATCTGCACCTCTATACCAACACTCAAAGACCCACCGCTACACAAACACCCTTCCTGTGTCGTGCGAAGCGATCGAAAGCCGCCAGTAAATTTCTCTTATTATTCATTACCGGCGATTAACTACGGCTATTTGCTTTGCTTTTAGGACTTTACATCGTAAAAACAAAGGAAATAGCTCTGATTAATCGCCGGTAATGACTAATAATCGAAATTTACTGGCGATTTTCGATCGGTTCGCACGACATGGGTCACATTTATGCCCAAATCCACAAACATAAACCTACACGCGGGCACCTACATCCACATCACTGCACTCGCGCCAGCGTACCTACATGCTCACCACCACAGTGACACCTCCACATCCAAGTCCTTACACGTCCACAGTCTCGTGTAAACAACCACATGTTATTCTTCATTTTTATTTTTCGTGCTTAACTTGTCGGTGCTGAACGTTCTCGTGCTCATCGTTCCGGTTCCCGTCTCATAATGTGAAAACACAATAGTGATCAGTCTATTATCGATTGTTGAATCTCTTATATAGTCTCTCATAGTTCTTCTTCAGATGAGTGTATAGGAAAGATGCTTTGACCATCTCATCATCCAGATTCGATGTTTTTCTTTTGATTCCAATCCAACTTGATTGTCAGGTTTGATGAAAACTCGTAATTGGTTTTCGAACGCTTCACTAAGAATAATTTCTCAGTTTTGAGCGAAAGCTCCCAATCCTTTTAATCTGGTTAGCAGTAAAATTGCTAGAAAATTCTTTCGTAAGGGAGGTAGAAAGAGTTCAAAGCATTGATTACGGACAGTTCACATTTGAAGTTTTGACGTCGAGGAAAATGGAATTCTTCACATAGTTCACAAATGTAAACTCGACATCTACATCTTCAGATTGGTTGGCTAACGGACAGTACAACAGTTTGAGAGAAAAAAAGACGAATCAATTTGTGTGTCAACATTCAACAAGGCTCATTTTTGTGTTTCTTTCACCAATCGCTAAAATTATCGTGATGAGAATGCTTCAATTCTCTACACTTAGTAGTCTCGGGTCCTTAATATTCACCTGGAGAACAATTTCAACTTGCTGGCAACTATATAAAAAATGTACCAGTCAACGGTCATTAGTCTTTGATTATCCGAAAATATCAATATTCTTTTGATTATTGAAATCAAACAGCCCGCTATTGACCGATGAATGAAACAGGATTTCGGGTGTAGATATACACTTTCCTTTCATCGCATTCCAAAACCCACACCCACATTGCGTAGATTCGTCTTTACTCAATGGATCCGCAAGTTTTCTCAAATTCATTTTATCAATCATTATATTTTGTTTTTGTTATCTGCCAAGACTTTGTTTTTAATGGTTGACATGCTCATTCAAGAGATAACAATGCTTCATTTTCATGAGCACTAATCGACGTCAGTATTCGGTTTAGTTATTCTTGGACATAAAATCAACAAACGCGACTTTATTATATCAATTATCGATTGACTTTACTTAACATTTGGTAGTTACTAATAAAAACAGATAATTAGCCACCAATTGTTTTCTTCATATAATGTAGAATTATCAGTGGCCGAATCGAACCATTTTTCTTTGGTTCGAGTTCGGCTCTATTCGAGTAGGTCTAGTTCCACCAAACCATGAATACGCGATAAGTCGAATCCTGTTGCTTCTGGTTCAGTTAGGTTAAATCGTTTACAAAAAGCATCACTAACGAGAAAACCTGAACTAAACGATATTGAATAGTAGCTTTTTTTAATGTGCATTTACAATGTATCAAATAGTGTTATTTTTTTTTTGAGGAAAACTTGGAACGAGAAAACTCGTTTTATTAATTGAGTTTTACAACAGGTAAAATTTTTCGCAAAAATTTTGTCGTTCGGGGAAATTTTTTAATTTATTGGCAGATTCTGCACGTCTGCTATGCAATAAATTGAGCTTTGATTTGATAGACATGTACTTTATAGAAGATATTACATTTGATAAGTAGCTCAATTTGATTACTAGATGGTCACCTACTTTGAATCGCTTTACTTCTGAAAGAATTACTTAGTCAAGATTTCAGATGTATTGTATAGTTCTACTCTTAATCTTCGTTCAACAAGAATTTCTACACATGATTCAAAGTATATTAATCGAATTACTATGTGTCAGAGGCCTCAATGGGCTGGGCCAAACCCGGCCCAGCCCAGCCCAGCCCAGCCCAGCCCGCCCATGGGCCGAATTTTCTTTTAAATAAAAACCTATGAGTGGGCCGGGCTGATTTCGAATTTCAGTGGGTGCCCATGGGCCTAAATTGGCCGAGTTTTACAAAAAAAAGTTATCAAAGTATGCGCACGTTGCCACTAAATTTTCTTTTCGAAAAATACATTGCATTCCTACTTTTTCAGCAACTATAGAAGGATATTTCAGTTCTACCGGCTTTATTGTGAATGAACGTCGGACATCTTTACATCCCGACTAAATTGATAAAATGATAGTAATAAGTTCAACTGAAAACTTGAAAAAATGGTATGCATTTTTTTGTATTATTGTTCTTCTTTTGTATCTTTTCTTGCACTTGTCTACTTAAAACATGCTGTTCAAGTGATTATTCCCTCGACTGTAGGGAGGGTCATATGAAATAAATTGTGTTTGTGTGTGCATTTGTCTGTTTGTGACAGGTCAAAAAAACATGTAAGCGGTTAGCTAATTTTTAGGATTTTCAGTCTTTTGATGAAACTTTGCTAGAGATAATCGAGGTCGGGAAATCCGAATCTGAGGTTAGATTTTCAAAATTTTGAGTTTGATTTTTTAGATGAAGGTAAGAATTTTTGAAGAAAATAACGATATATTATAAAGGTTGACGAAAGTAAATCGGGGTCGGGAAATCCAAATCTGAAATGGGCTTTCCGAAATTTTTCGCTCGATTTTTTTTCGCATGATCTTTTTCTGAGAAAAATTGAGTTTTCAAACAAAGAAACATTTTTTCCCAGAGTAATAGTTTTGCAAGAAAAACACGATTTTTTTATAAAAGAAATTTTTCGTAAAAAGCTGAACTAAAAATTTTGAAAGACTGACTTCAGATTCGTATTCTCCGACCCCGACTTACTTTCGTCAACCTTTACAAAATATCGTTATATATATATAAATGTGTCTGTTGAAAAAAGTATCAATGAGATGAGTGGTCCATGGGCGGGACCGGGTCAGGACTGATAGCCCATGGGCTGGTTTTTCGCGGTCCGACCCGGCCCATTGAGACCTCTGGCCCACACCCACACCCACACCCTCAATCTACGATGAGAGAGTGGTACACAAAAGCGCCGCAAACAATGGTTAAATTTTGCTCCTTTCTGGAATATTGCATTTAAAATTCTGATATTTCGAGCTTTTTCTATGTAAGAAAAATCGATCAGGTTTTCTCCTTTAAAGCTGCATGGAAAACAGCAACATACCAATAAAATCAGCTTGTCGAGATCTATAAATTGGTATATATCCCATTCGAAATTAAGACTCACACTTGTGTATGTTCTCATGTTAGTCCACCTATTTCTATGCAAAGGCATTATCCGACAACCTTTGCTTTTTACATAGACAAAAGCATAGAAAGGAAGAAAGAAAAAATGTTGTGTCTATTCATGATAAGAGACACGAGATAAAGAACGAACTTACAGGTGAGACTCGACTTCATTACGTAGCCAGTGAAAAAATTCTAGTGTTGATTTTTGCGTCTCAGCATGGTTCGATCATAAAAGATAAGCGGAAAAAAATGTCATCGATATCATCACTCAATTTCACTTCGCAAAGAAGTAAAGCTTAAATACAAAAAAGTAAGGAAGGACACATTTATGCATATATTTAGCGAAGACAAACTTTGTGGTAGACATCCTTATTGTAACACGAGAAAACTTTTGATGATACACTTGAATATTTCGAAGAGAAGGGAAAGTGGCAGAAGATCCTTGGAAAATCGAGTATAATATTTAAGGTAATTTTTCAATACCAATGCCATTGGTGTCGTTAAATCACCTATTGATGTAGTTCAAAGAAAACAGTTTCATGAGATGTGAATAATTCTTAAGTACTTATAATAACACATAGAAATTTCAAGTCTTATTATCGCGTTGAACATGTGAAACACTTACATCTCCTGATCTAGGATTTGCATCTATTTGTTAATCGAACTTCGCTGTAGACATTTTTCATAACACGATTATTAACGAGTACTGAAGTAGATGGTGATTTACAACAGTGCTAGGATTTTCAATCAGAGGGTCTTAGTTCGCAAGTTTCTGAGGTTAAACAGGATTGAAATAATTATCAATTGCCTGCAACAGTTTTTCAAAGTTTCGGAAGCTGAAACAGTTTTGAAGGATAGGAATCGTCGTGACGAAGGGTTTTTGACGCCGATCACGGTAAAATTGGCCACAGTAATGGTCAGAACCATGACCGTGACCATTTTAGCGATCCCTACTATGCAGGTAAGCATCATTTTTTAGTCGATGGAGATCTTAAATATGGTACATACAGAGGTTCAGCAAAGTCCTTTTCGAAATTTTACATTTATGGAGACTTTTATTTTTGCACTCCATTGTACATCATGTTATATTCAACTTCTTTGAAATATTTGTCTAGTCTTTTATAGTTACGTCAAGTTATCATCTCTATTCATTCTCTAATACTAGATGTACTTTTAGATAAAACTTATTTTCGAATGGCAGCTGAAGCAAAAGATATTACCACATCTGGATCACAACGTAAGCTAGCACTTGTAATTGGCATAGGCGAATAGGACAATATCACAAAATTAACGAATCCACAAAATGATGCAGAAGCGTTGCTTTGAGAATGAGGGTGAAAGTTTGTAAGCATTTCTTCTTCACTTTCAGTCTCACATCCTCACCCTCAACTCACCCTACCGTATTTGTCAAAACTCTGTAAATTACTTGTAGAAAAAAATCACTGAACTCAATGTTTACTTGCTTCATGTACGCCCATAGTATATACGCTCTCAACATGGATAAATTAAATATATCTAAGAACGATTCCTTGTATCACTGACTCGTTTTGCAAGTACAGTTTAGCAAGATAACTTGCATCAGTGCTTTATTCATCAAAGGCCTATTTTCTTTATATACTTTGATGCGAACAGATTTCCATTTGAGTGGTTCAGAGTATGGTCAATTGCCTTGCCTTAGTAAGTACCAGAAAAGATTCATGGACTGTAAATAATATATGTACATCTCGTTTGTCATGCCGTTTCAGAAATATCTTTTCATTGTTCTCTAGATTTGAACAAAATATTTGTTGACCAACTCTGTTATTTCTGGTGGTTTTACAAGCACCAGTTCTCTCAGAGAATAAAAAAATCATAATCATGATATGAGATTGGTGAAATTTTTCATTTTAATCAATGAAAATAAAATGCATCAATTTTTATATTCGTTTCATCATCGAAAATGTCTTTTTTTCATGCTTTTCATATGAAATTCATCATTTTTGTATTTTTTGTACTTATTTTCTGGACTATTATGCTGTAGATTTTTGAATAAACCAGAGCGTCAATATGGCTTTTTTGTGAAATTGAACCTGGATTCGTAATAGCCCTATATTTTCCTATTTTTTCTGTATCTGTAGAAAAATCCAAATTCTCTAGTGATAAAATATGGTTTTTATCGCTAAAAAGTCACATTTGTTTCGCTAAGCGCGCTGTAACTTGTTTCTGCAGACAATAAGAGACGACTGGGGACCCGATTTATATAGGATGTTGCAAAAGTAATTACTCGACATTAAATTCGAATATCTGCACCCTGTCTCAATCGATAAGGCTGACTTTTTCATCGATGATCGAAGCATATATCGAGTTTATGCTGTTGAAAAAAGGTTCATAAATACTGATCGAAACTATCACCTTCGGTTTCGATATACAAAGTCATTGTTTCCTTGATTTTCAAGAAAATGTCATAATGTTCCTTTACTAATCGCTCGAAATTCTTCAGTAATTCTCGATTTCAAATTATCGCGAACTTCTACTCTTGTTTTACAGACATTCGTTTTGATATGATCCCCGAGAAAAAGGTTGAATAAGATCAAGTTCAATTATCGTGAAGTTCATAAAATGGGTCCACATCTACCGATCCACCAATCATTGAACTTTCTAATTTGTCCATCAGAACCACAATTCAGATTCGAAGCTAAGAACTGTGTGACATGTTGCTTTATTGGAACTTCGATGAATTTCGAGAAATTTCTCATTCTTCATAAAAGAGAGGCGGATGTGAGTGTGGATGTCTGTTCAGACTGTCCATACCCACACCCATCATTCATGAAAAAGTCAGCCATATTGATTGAGATAAGGTGCAGATATTCGAATTTAATTTCGGGTAATTACTATTGAAACACTCTGTAGGAACATTACACTCTAATGGGGAAAAGGTTTCTAATCCGACATGTTCCTGTATGTGTTATTCAATGAGCAGAAATAATCGATTTTCTACACGTAACACGTAGATCTCAACTATTATGACCAAGAAATGACTTTCTTGGAAATTCATATCACATCTCGAGTAGAATCAACGGAAATAACTTCAGTATGGAACCTCTTAACGACACTTCGAAGAGGATTTCCTGGTGCTCACAGCAATAATCTGAAAAGCGGGTGCAACTCGATGAATAGATAATCGGGTTCTCGCTCTCTAATACTAATCTTGAGGGTGAACTCTGAAGAAACATGATGTTGACGATGAAGTATCCGAATGTTCAAGGGTGTTCTTTTTCTTTTATTGCAGCTGTTTCTCCCAAGGCCAGATGGAAACAGAATGGAGTCACCATCGCTGGGGGTCATGGAAAGGGCGAGGCAGCCAACCAACTACACTGGCCTCATGGTCTCTGTGTGGATGAGGATCAAACAGTTGTCATCGCTGACTACTGGAATCACCGTGTTGTGGAATGGAAGAGGGGTGATACGAGCGGTCGAGTGGTGGCTGGTGGAAATGGAAAAGGAAATCGAATCGATCAATTGAATGAGCCAATAGATGTGATTATCGATAAAGAGAGAGATAGTCTCATTATCTGTGATCAAGGGAATCAACGAGTGATGCGATGGTCTCGCCGAAGTGGAACAACACTTGGAGAAGTTATCATCGACAATATCGCTTGCAGGGCATTGACGATGGACAATGAGAGAAATCTCTACGTCACTGACGAGAAGAACCATGAAGTGATACGATATCGAATGGGACAGACGAATGGAATAGTCGTGGCGGGTAGAAATGGAATAGGTGATCGTCTCGATCAACTCAAATGTCCTCAAAACGTATTTGTCGATGCAGATTATTCTGTCTACGTTTCCGATGGGAATAATCATCGTGTGATGAAGTGGATGAAGGGTGCCAAAGAAGGGATTGTCGTAGCGGGTGGTCGAGGTATAGGAAATGCTCTGACAAAGTTGTCGTGTCCTGCAGGAGTGTTCGCCGATGCGTTCGGTACAGTCTATGTGGCAGATTGGGGGAATGATCGAGTGACGCGTTGGGCCTACGGAGTAGAAAAGGGAGAGGTCATTGTGGGTGGAAATGGTGAGGGAGCACAAGCGAACCAGTTTAGAGGTCCCATGGGTTTGTCATTCGATCGTGACGGCAATCTCTATGTCGTCGACCGCGCGAATAATCGAGTTCAACGATTCTCTATCAAAACGAGTGAACATTGTTTGTTGTCTTAATTTTTCTCTTCCTCTGAAATGAAAAGAATAAAAAGGATTCTCCTCGTGTCCACTCAAACCCGTTGATTCCTCTTCTCTTTAGATATAGAGGGTGTGGGTGTGGATCTAGTAAAGACAAAACTAACAGCCATAACCACACCCACATCCCACCCACACCCTGAATTTTTACTAAAATTACGTATATCACTACGAATCTCTCGTACATATCACTATTTTACTTCTTTATCAACTTTTACCTCTACAACAATTGTATCTCTGTTGAGAACGAGTTTTTGGCTAGTTTCTTGGCTCATAGCATGGCCTCGATAGTCGCGTAGGTTCTCTCTTAATAAGTTGGCCGTAATTAGATATGTGAGACGATTTATTAAAGAAAGGAAAAAAAGAGAAAGAAGAATCGATAAGCTTTTTTTATCAAATAATATCGTGTTGCATCATGAATATAAATAAAAAAGAAGTAAGAGAAAAATATGAGACTAAAGAAGAGATACCATCGACTAAAAAAGTACTAATCCATTTTCAACATTTGTCTAGGTATCCTACATTACTTTAACACGATTCTTGAGGGAGCAGCAACATGTTTATTTATTCTCTTTTCATTTTTTTCATCGTTCTGGTCGGAATAATAAAAGGTGCAATGAGTGTTGACGCTCTAGCACTATGTATTATGTCCGAAGCATTGATTGGTAATAAAGCTGAACATACGGCTATTGGTTTTGTTTGTCAACGAAACTCAAAACATCAAGGAGAAAAAGCGGATCCCAGATCCCCGGATCCCATAGATCCCGCTGGATCCCATTGGATCCCGTAGATCCCACTAGATCCCATTGGATCCCGTAGATCCCGCTGGATCCCACAGCATCCCATTCGATCCAACTAGATTCCTATTGGATCCTAATAAATGTTTCTAAGTATTTGTGAGACCGTATTAACTTCCAAATTCTCCTTCTTCGCTCTCATAGGCGTTGGCTAAGATCTGATTCAGGCAAGCATTTTATTTTTCTATGATTTCTGTTGGTGTTTTTCCCATTATTATCTTTACAAGACAGATCCTCCGAATTATTAGAACCTTGTAGAAAGCAGTTAAAAAGATTATTGCTGTTGAACGAAAAGCTACAACATGTTACGTGGTATGAATAATATATAATATGAAAAATTGAAATTTTCTTCTGACAAAAAAGTGAGAAAAATCGGGTAATTCATCAATATATTTCATGTTATTCAATCGGAGTGCATTTTGAAATAAGTTAAAAAAGATTAATGCTTTGATTGACAATAATAGAGCGACGTTGGTGCGCTTCATTTTTTTATTGCTCCGTTTGTGAATCATGACAAAAATTACAATTATCTGTTCTAATTATACTAATATTTCTCTCAAATACATCTATACTCTTCTCCAATAAGTACAATATACGTATATGATAACTATCGATTTGAATAATTTACTTGATGAAGCTCTTTTCTACTCAAACGATCAATTTTACAAGTTCATTGAAGATTGTTTAGGTGTCGATGAAATGAACTTATTGAAAATGCAATCAATTAAAAATATCAGAACACTGTTAAACTTACCGGATGTTTTTGCTATACTTAGTGTGAATTGTAAAGAACTTGTTGATCTTAGAAATAGTATTTGTTTTGCCGATGAAGATAATAACAACATTATTATTAAATCAGGAATCAAAGCTGGTATGAATAGTTTGATAACAACACTTCAAGAGAAAAAAAGCAAGTATATTAAACAAACAAAAAACTCCAAATCATCATCATCATCATTATCCTACACAACAAATCATCTTCATTCGAATACATCTTTGTTAAATACAACAATTCCTGATTCTATCGATTCGGCATTAACATCAACACCAACGACAACACTGAATTTAATGCCAATCAATCATTACATCGATGTGATTTCAGACAGTATAGAAAAATTTTCTATCAACACTTTTAAAAAAGTTATTTTAAAAAACAACGGTGATTATTTTATATCTGTAACTTCATTAGATTCGAACATAAATGGGCAAATAAAATGTGGTTGCAATACAACAGTTAAACTTGTTTTTCGTTCAAATAGAAATTCATTTCAATTATCTTCATATTTCAAACATTTAAAAAATGCTCGCTGTTCTATGATAAAAAATAGAAACAATTATCAATTGAAGATTTAAAAAAAAGAATAATTCACCAGATGATTTGTTGAAAAACGATGATTTCCATGATATGAACGATGGTAATGATTATAACGAAGAAAGGTTGAATGATGGCAGTGATAGTTCTCAAATTACCACTAACACCTCAATCTCATACAACTATTCTGATAGCAAAAAACGACCACTATCATCATACTCATCAACGCACATTACGAAAAAGAGCATCATAGAGTATAACTAAATAGAAAATTTGAATACAATTGTTTTTACATATTTAGCATTTATTATACAGCATTTCTATAGATTCAAAAAACTTTATTTTGAGTGTGTGATGTACATTAGCTTTTTGTTGTTTTCTTACTTTTATGTGTAATTAAATTAGCCTAAATATAGATGGAATAAAATTTTTAGAAACAGTTGTTGATCTTGAACGATTTAATGGGAGCTAAGATTATTTTCTAAGTATTAAATAAATGTTATAGATAGTTTTTCAAAATCTGGTAGCTATGGCTAGTATGGAACAAGAATTATTGCCATTTCTTGAAAATATTTCATCCTATTCTGATGATATTTTCTATAAATTCGTCAGAGAATTTGTTGGTGTCATAGAAAGTGAAATTTTAGAAATACGACGTATAAAAAATGTTCGAATTTTATTACAAGTACCAGATGTATTTTTATTTTTTCAAATAAATTCTAAAGACATATTAAAATTAAAAGAAAAAGCTTGTTTTGTTACGGATGATTTGCAGTTTATTGTACGACCAGGGATTAAATCTAATATCGAACAATTTATTGAAGCATTGAAAAAGTATTACGAATCAACATCAACTAATGTCAATTATATTTCATCTCAAAGAACATCAAACGTAATTAAAAAAAACAGATTATTGTATGTGTGATTTAATAGATATTTATCAAGAAAATCAATCAAAATCATTTATCAATATTTTTGTTAGCAAGCTGTTGAAGAATATGAAACGATCTAGTAATAATTACCAATTCGATCATACTGTTAGTAAATTTACATCAGTCCTCAATATATTAGCTGGGCATAATGCCTATGAATTCATTCGACTTAATTTGCCAGGATCTCTACCTTCTATTACCACGTTAAAAACTTATAATCAAAATATAAATTTACAATTAAGCGAATGTGAATTTCGATTTGATTCTCTGAAAGATCATTTAGAATTAATTGATTCTAATCATGTATTTCTGGTAGATATTTTGGAATAATGTAATATATGATAGAAAAAAACGAATTTGTTTCCTTTTGTTAAAATCAACATAAGTTGATCAGAATATATCAATGTACAATAAAAATGAGCAAAAAAGAAAATAAGCAGTTACCTATATCCCGAAAGAAAGCGGTCATGAGCAGATTTTGACAGATTCTGGTTGTAAATATTAGCGCATTACTTGGATCTACTTTCAGCTCTATCATAATTCATAAAGTATCTACTGGAATATATAATAGTTCATTAGAATTCACTTGTTTTCCAGAGTAATTATATGATTTAATTGCATATTTTATTTTTATAGTCAGAAGACTCAACTGGTGTTATTAGTTCGGTATCTTACGATAGTAGAAACGATTGTTTTATTGGATTTTCTCCTCGATTAGTAAATGGTTTACCTTTTGTCGACCAATTCAAAACCAATAGTTACACCGAATTGCAACAATGGTTTGAAGATTTTGATAAATCCACATTAGTAAATGCACATTTAGTCGAACCTTTATTAAGCAATTCTTCATCATTAGTTCACTCACGACCATGTATTCTTTCTGCTTATGGAACAAATAATAAATATACTGCTATAGATGTTCTTCGAAAATGGATGTATTTGTATAATGAATGTAAAAAAAGAAATATTAACGTTGTCGGTTTTTCAACGGATTGTGATCCGTGTTACCTCAAAGCTATGCAATTGTCCTTAGGTTTCTTCACTAAAGCACCAAACATCGATTTATTAACTGGCAATAATAATTTACTTGAAACCAATATTGCGTCACATTGAAATTTTTTTTTATAAGATCAATTCAACCATATCTTTGTATGCAAGATGGTATACATCTTGTCACAAAAATTAGAAACCGTCTTTTATCAGAAACAGCAACTATGTTCATTAATAATCAAAAAATAGATGTGAACCATTTATTCTATATAATTCAGAATTATCCGAAAATCGATCACAATCTAGTGAAATCGGATGTTTTTTCTCATGATCGTCAAAATTATTCTTCTTGTTTGAAGATAACGTCTGATGACGTTTTAAATGTATTGAAGGACATAAATGCGTCAGCTACTTATGTTTATCGACATCTATTAAAATTAATAAGTCTTACTTACGTTAAAGCAGAGACTGATATTCTTACTCGCTTATACTATGGTTGGGTAGTAACGTTCTCATGTCGAATGTGGTGGTAAAAAATCTAAAAATCTATCTATTATTTTTTATTCATTTCGCTTATAATTTCTAGGAGTAGTATTCAAATTAAACAAAATTGTTCTCACAAGGAAAAGGATAATTGTTTTATAACAAGAGCTGCTTGGTTATCATCGGAATTGAATGTACATTGTTTAACAGCAATAATTATTTTAGTATCTGAAGGACGTTTACCACCTTGTGCAATTAATACACATCTTTTTAGCAGTCAACTTTGCGAGGCGACATTCCGTAGCGCTCGGGCATTGACCGGAATTCTTTCGACCGTAACAAACTTCTCTGTGTTCACTTTTTTACAAAAAATTGGGAAAATTTCTATTGTGAATGAAACAAAATCTACAGAAGAGGCAAATTGTGCTGCACATTCATTAAAATTTCCTGTTCATCACAAAAGTCGACATAGAAAAACAACAATGTCTGCAAATACTCCTATTACATCAACAATAACAACCGATGAAATACAAAAAAATATTATTAAAGCCTATCATCAAGCAGAATCTATTATGGATAGTTTACAATTAACCAAAAACACTAAAGGAAAACAATTTAAATGACTTCAGAAAACTTAATGATTTTGTTTTTCAACAACTTACTGGAAAATTAAGAGTAGATTATTCGTATTTTAATGAAGAAGATCTTGAAGATAGTTTAGATAATGATAATAATAGTAATGGTGAAATTGCTGTTGAATTTTTCGAAACAAATGTCGAAGAGAATGAATATTGTTCAGATTAAGATGAAGAAAATAGTTATCGTATAACAAGCTCGAAAGAGACTTTTCAAGGAATGAGGGTTTACGATGAAATCGATCCATCGAAAAAGTCTTATTATTTTCAAATTACTATTAATTATAAACCGAAATTTATCCATAAACAAACAGCAGCACTATTATTGACTATAGAAAAAAAAAGTTTATCATCAGATAGACAAACACGAGTTCAACAAAGACGCAAGCAAAGTTAATTAGATTAGATTTCATTTTCTTTTTGTTTAATTAACTACGAATATATTTGAATAAAACGCATTAAATAACATTAGAATTATATTTCTAAATGAATTACTGTAAGGCTCAGTTCGTTGATCAGAATACTCAAAATCTTCATTTCAAAACGGAGAACTGGTCAATATGCAAACAAAAGTCATTGTGAAAATAGCATAAGGTAGCACTTTTCAATCATCTTCGTGTGTATTGAGAGAAATTATAGAATATTTTGAAAAAGACTAATGTGCATGGACAGTCATAAAACACCATCTATAGCTCAATGTCTTTACGGTTCTTTTCATGTCTGCTGAAAGGTGGTCATATCTTTTATTGATAATCGAGTACTAGAAAGTGTTACATAGATAAGTTGGAGTTATGAGTGCATTACATAATGACCATTGCAGTGCTTCTACCGCATGTTTTCAAGAATATATTTCTATTATACGAGTCTTGTTAATATCTTTTGTTCTTGTGAATTCTTTAGAACATATGTTAGCACTGGTTATACAGTTTATTAGCACAATAATGAAAAACGTGTGTGTATTTATATGTAGATAGGAGCATGTCATATGTTGAACAATAGTACAAAGAATGATAGTCACGCCAGACGTTGAGCAATATTATAAAGAACGATGATCACGCCATATGTATAAAAGAAGACTATTGGAAGATAATATGATCATCAAGGGTTACCTGGATAACAACATAATTTATGTTAACGAATGTCAGTGCATCCTGATTGATCCTATTGGATCCCAATGAATCCCATTGGATCTCGCTGGATCCCGCTGGATCCCATTGGATCCCGCTAGATCTCGGGATCCGCTTTTCCCCCCTTGCAAAACAGGCTTCCAACCAAAGGCGAATCAAAAATCGAGATGTAACAACCTGTTGGTACAGGTATTATGGATTGTAGTGGAGTATTGGAAAGCGCTTGTCTTCGAAGAAAGAGTTATAAACCCAGCTGGGCTACATCTAGTAAACAAGTCATTATTTCAGGTGTGCGCGACTGTCTCTACAAGTTTTTCAAGCTCTAATTTGTCATTAGTTCACTACATTAATTTCTACATTTAACAGAAATAAGTCTTGAACTTCATTCTACAGTAAAGATATGTTGTCAGATACGATATGTTTCGCAAAAATTTTACACTGATTAATTCTCTACGTACTCACTAGTAAACGTGTCGAACACTATAGTCACAGTTTCATTAATTGATTACAGGTAGATGATGGTTACCATTTTTATCACATAGGTCATAAACAGATAAAAACGAATTACAAAGCAAAATCAACAATTATAGTAAGCGGTGTTGCCAAAAAGAATTGTCCACTTGTACTTGGTTATTTCTCAACGTATATAGTAGAATAAAACAAGAAGAGGAGATGTTCATCAAAATACCAAACAGATATAATTAATTTTTTTCAACGAATATTTAAAACTATGAAAGCGAAAAAGTGCTGAATGTGTGGCTTTAGAGCATTTTTACCATTTTCTGTTTATAGCACTGTAAAATGATTCACGAGAATCTTAACAAAAAAAAGCACTGCCTAGGTCCTTTTGTGTGTTAATTTATATGGAGCGAAATACTGTTACTTTTCCTAAAAGAATCAATAGAATAAACTATGTGTTGAACATTCAAAATAAATAAACGCTTACATCAAACATGAAAAATGTAAACATTCACTCTCAGTCACTCATGTGCATTTCAAAGTACGGTTCTTTGTTCAATTTAACTGACTGATCACGGTAACTGTTTTTCTATCAAAGCTGCCTTCATTTCGAGCTGTTCTCATGTCATAGTTCCATTACGAGTGATACAAAGGTCACCATTGTAACAAACTAGGACAAATCGTAGAAAATCTCGACAATAATATGAGACTGAAATAATATACACGGAGAAGGTCGATGCATAACTGATATATAAAATAATATTGACTATATAGAAAATCAACGCTTCTTTTGATAATCGATAAGGTGACTTTATCATTGACAGTGTCATAACTTGGTAGATATTTAATATCGTAAAAGGTGTGATTAGCATACTACTGTAATAAAATGTAAGAGTGTCATCAAAATAAAACTTTGCTGAAATGTGCTACGTAAATCAACACCATTCATTGAAGTAAGGGTGTGCGTGTGGATGAAACAAAGATGAACACCCACATCCACACCCACACCCACACCCACAAAATGTATTACTTCGAACAGATTTGTTCGGATCACTTATTATCATTTCAAGCAGATGAAGATGTTCGTTTAAGGCAAATTGAATTTCGACCTATCTCTCAAATAGTTCACATGCTACTAACATCAACAAGTGATTTGATTTGTGAGATCGAAAACTTCACGATCAAGTTACTTACTATCAACATTTACTGTTATTCCCCTGGTCAAATCGAAACAATTTCAACGAAAAAATAATCGGCAGTGTTACTAATGATTGATTATTCTGTTCCATAAAGATTTAAATAATAAATGTCTTTGTCTTTCGATGTCAATGATAAAATAAACGAATAAAAATTCTTCATATTTCTGTTCATATGATTTTGGTTATTCTCGAGCTCAATGTTATGTAAAATATAATTGTTCATGTTCATTCGATTCCTATTGCTTAACTTTCGATTTAGTACGAATAATTTATATGAAAATAATGGATTATGTGTTCCAAAGGATGATCGAATTGAGATTCAATTTAATGAAGAAATGATTCGAGTAGTATCGATTGTCTTTGGACATTTGATAAGAGTATTTGAAAATTCAAAGCATCAATCGATTACAACAATTAAGAAAATTAAATAGAGAATGAAGAGAATTACCACTGATGTAATACAATTATTTTATATTTTGTTTATTGAACTTTCTCAACGAAATTATTATTTCATTGTCTTACGAGAAAGATTTATTCCGTCGAAATATATACAAATAGAATTTGTAATGGAGTCAACGATGTTTATTTATCGAATAAATGATTAATTTAACGTTATGATCGTATTCGCATTTTTGATCGAGTAAAATATGATCCATTATTATGTTGAGAAAATTCTGAATTGAAATGTTTTTATAATGAATATTATATGTGTATGATTATTTTTATGGAAGTAAATGTCAGTTCAATAGGAAAGGTTGTATTTTATCTCTCGATTATAATTCTTGGTTATCATATCAAGCCGAAACTATCATTTTATCAACAACCATCGTTGATTAAAGTGAATGCATCATTGTCATTACATTGATGTCTATATTGGGATTGATTGGTGGATTTTATCAATATTTACATTTCATATGAAGAAAACACGAGATGTTGGATCGGGGTTTTATTTATTGATTACTTCATGAATATTGGTGTGTTTATTACTTGTATTAATATTCAAATTTTCTCAATTGATTTTTATGACAAATGATTATTCTTATTAACCGATTATTATTGACTATCAATTGTAAAGTATTAGATACAATGGTTCCAATTCTTCTAGCAATCAATGATTGGTTAAATGGATGTATGTCCGTGTAACGAGCTGTAACTATTATTCAAGGTGTTAAATTTAAAAAATCTCGAAGCAAACGAATAGCTAAATGGATAACACCAATTGTTATTATTGTAACAGTTTTCACTCATCTTCATGATTCTGTTCATCGTCATTTGATTGATGATATTAATGTTGATGAACAAGGAACTTAGTGTATTGTTGAATATTCTTCATCAATCAGTGCATTCAATTCTTTGATTATAAAAGTATGTTCTCGTTTTACAGCACAACGAAGATTACCATTCAAAGAATATTTGCGATTATAATTTAAACAAGATAAAAATTCTCTTATTGTCTCATTTGCACTTGTATTGTCAGTCTTACGTCGATTGATTCTTTCATCTGTAAGTATATGTATATCGCCACATCATTCATGGTTATTTCATTTTGCTTATTTAGTTTCATTTTTACCGTCAATGAGACATCTATTGTCGATGTGTTACCACCGGAATTGTACAAAGATAAATTTAGTATAGTTGTGACTCAAACTATTCGACGATATCGTGGTATTTTATAATTCATTTTTTCAAGTTTAACGAGAGAACTTTACCAACTGATCAACATATCGTACTGATGAGCAAATTATGAACTGGAACGGAGCTTGTTAGTTGATAAAATTTTCTTGTAAAATCATCTGAATCTGCTTATATGTTGTTCTTGCTTAATGTACTATTTTGAGAAGTGCACAATAAATATGTAAGACGCTCATACATTGAGCCGGAGTGAATGAAGTTTTCACCTTTTGCACTATTATTTTCATTATAAGTAAAAGAGTAACTAAAAAAAAGAAATTCATCAGACCTTCAATATTCGACTTCGTTGAATTCTTTTTTTTTGCACATGTCTGCTTGTAATGCAAATCGAAAGAAACAATATAATCACACGAGAAACGGCTAAAATAATCAGAGTTAATGGCGATATCCGCAGATGATTATGTTCTTGAAATGTATGCATTCTATTAAAACCATCATTCAAAGAGTTTATTTCACTTAATGAGCTAGTGTTTTCTTCAAACGAAATGTTCTCTTATCTTCCATGTGCTATCTATAAAACATAAAACAGACATGAATATCTCGAAGAAGTTTTATAAGAAAACGAAATCATGACAAATTTGTGAACGACTTTCCCCCGTTCTTACAATAATTTTATATCTAAAGTTATAGTCCCTATTGAATGCTCCCAGAAGTACATCCTATAAACGGATCTGTTATTGAATTATAAAAGAATCGTACATAAAATCAGTCTATTTTGCAAACAATATTAAAATGTGAGTAGAGGAGCCTTTCTTTATTTTAAACTAAATTTTCAAGAAGAGAAATTCATCAATTTATTCGTATATCAGATGCGTTCTAGCAATCTAATGATTCATTTAGTTGTCCGGTTCGTCCTTGTCAATCATGCATCATTCCAATCACTATCACGACCAAAACGATTATAACGATCGGTCGCACGACTAGCAAGAGCACCAATCACCATATCAATAGAAGTATCATGATCATCACGACGAAGAAGATGAAAAGCAGGGTTATTATGCAAAATAAGCTCATATTGATCGCCAAAATTAGCACGATAATTAGGATTAGAATGAAAAAAAGAATGATTGGAGTGTTGTTGCTTTATTTGTGCTACATCCCGAAATACTTCATGTTGATCAGTTCCTAAAATTCATTTATAGAATAAATGGATAAATGCTGATGAAAAGTTGCAGAACTATATTATGTTGACTTACTCGCATGTCTTTGTTGAAGAGTTAAATAAATTACATATTTCTTCTCATCTGTGTCAAATTCCATTTGGTCAATAGTGAAGCAAACACCAGGCAATAGTAACTCTTCTTCTTCATCAGGAAAATTTGAAAATTTTTGAAGATCGACAGTAAATGCGATGCACAGCTCCATAACAAATAAAACGTTACCGAACATCTTAGCTACTTCGAGATTTCGAGTACATGAAGTGAATGCTTGAAAGGAACGCAGTGGTTTTGGATGCGCAAAATAATCCTCTTGGAGTGAAGCAATAAAGTCATCAGACAGTTCAGCACCACGATAAAGTATTGTGTCTGGTTTAGTCATCTTGCTATTGAATGGATTGTCCCATAGGAGTAGACTAAATGGTCCTAATGTCTGTACCTTACTTCGCCAAACCTGTTCATGTTCTTCACTTCCTATCAATCGCATGGCCTCATTCAATTTTTGATACAAGAAGCTGGGCAAGGAATACAGTTTTGCACAACACTTCCATACTTCTTCCATTCCCAATTCTTTTTTACTTAATAATGTCTTTGCTATTTTTTCGGCATCATCTTGTTTTCCGATCTCCTTTCCCTCTTCAATAATACCCAAAGCAGCTTTTTCGACGATCATTGGAATGATTGCTTCATTTTTCGACGGTAATTGATCTTTTGTAAGTCTGAAATCTTTTACTATGGCTTTTATGAAAGGTGAAATAAAGCCGTATAAACTACCACAGGGACGCTTGGGAGCGATAGGATTCGACGTAAATCTTTCTTTTCGCGAGTATTTATCATATGTATTGCATTCCATTTGTTTGATGATCTTTGTTTCGTGACGTCGCTGTTAGAGAGTTGAATCTTCTCTCCCAAATCAATCTAACAATCATCCGAAAAAGAAATGAATACTCAATAATTTCAGTCGATTGTGCGTCAGTCGAAATGACTACTAAACAGCTACTTACTCGTCTATATCTCCATCTACCTATAGATTCAACTATATATATCAGTAGAACTACGTTTCTCTGTGACTACCCAATAAACAACTAAACTCTAGAACTGTTACTTAGTTGTATCCAGAAAAGGTGTCTATTATCAGTAGAAAAAATTCGAGTGTAGACTATTCGCGTAAGTCGTTTTCTGACGATGATAAGAGTCACAAGACTTCGATCTGCCATTTGATGGAAGGGCTTAACAGTCGCATTATGTGACTCATCTAGTCTAATTTTAGAAATTTAGAATTTAGTTTTTGGCCACTTTTACTCCTGGTTGGGATTCCAGAAAATGTGGATTGCAGCTCTCTACGGGGTACCAAGTTAACTGAGCCTTGTGCATGCCTAGTCAGCAGAGATCCTCTCGTAATTGGTCCAGACAACAGTATATTTCAATTGTTCTGAAATTGAGAAAAAGCTTATTAAGCCCTTATTAATTAAAGAAAAAGTCTGGCATGGAGATTCTTCAACGTCAACAAACTCTGGTCAAATTGGTTAGAAATTGTAATTGATGTTAATAAATAGGATTTTCTTTTTCGGAAAAAAATCTGACAACTGCCGGGTACCTGATAACATTATCATAGTTTTCTTCTCTCCCATCAATATACTCACTTTGTGAGCTCTCTTTTGGAAGTGATATACTCCGTCTTTTGGGCAAGAGAAACTTCACTGATAAATTGTATGTAATCGGAGAAAAGAAAAAAACGAGTTGAGGACAAAAAACAAAAACAAAAACAGAACAAAACTCCACTTACCACCAGATACGAACATATATATCCCAGATAAAGAAAGAGAACGAAAAGAATATTATCGTAGATGACATTCTGCCAAGTGAAATAAAGAGAACGAAGCGAGAACAATGTAGACGTTTGGTGTTCATATGATATCTTTGTGTATTCTTGTAATATGAGTAAAAAATTTTCATGACACCTCGGTTGATATAGTCATACGAAGAGAAGAAAGAAGATTGTCTTTCTTATCGACGTGAAAATGATTGAACTCTTTTGAAATATAATACAAAATGTCACCTAAAGTTCCAAATCATGTTGAATTTTTGATCTTTCACCTTTGTCCACTGATCTTTGGCTTTTTCTCGTCTGACAAACAAAGGTATTTCATTCCGTATAACTTCTCTGATTTTCGTTTCTCTCAAAATCTTTTCTGTAAAAACAGCGACAAAATAAACTGATTAAAAAATCTATAAAATTAATAATAAGTTTCTCTGTGAATCCAACCATGTGGATGTTTTCGCAGCAAATATTTGCGAACTTCATCATAGATTAAGATTAAGAAAAAATAAGGTAACGGTAAAAGCCACCAACGAAATCTAGCGAAAAAAAAACTTCATTAAATACAAATAATCAAATGCTTTTATTGGTCGTACTTGAGTGGATGTGTATGAAGAGTGGTATTCAAATAAGGTGTATAAGAGATGACAGCAGCTAAAGCAATTTCAAAAATCAAACCAAAATTTAACATCCAATTACTATTTTACATAATAACCTCCTTTAATTATTCAATTGAGAAAAAAACTTACTTCATTCCTTGCTTTAGAATAGAATTGGTTCGTGTTTTACAAATCAATAAAAAAGTCCATCGACAAATGACAATCGTAATAAAATATCCTGTATGACAAGTGAATTCAAGTTGTTTACGTTGTTCATATGTCTAAAATTTATCTATAATAGAGAAAAAAAACAATTTTGATCAAACCCATTCTTGTCCATATGAATCTTCTAAATCATTGATATACTTTGATTCCCATGATTTTCTCAAACCCAATAAACGTGATGGAAGAAATCCATTTTCTGCCATAATAACAATATAAGTAAAAAAACCAGCACTCACTTGAATAGGTCCTGTTTGTCCTTATCCCATTGAAACAAGACTAAAAACACAAAAGGGAAAGTTTTTTATTTATTTATTTTTTGATGAAAGATTACTGTTCATTCACGAATCGATCATGTTGAAGTTCTGTTCATTTTTTTTTCATAATATCATTTTCAGCTTTTTCATAAGCCAATGTTATTGCTGGAATAATATCTGTACTCAAATCAATACAAAGAATAGCTATGGTCCCTAAAGCGAGTGGAGTATCTGTTACTAGATAGATTAAAAATGGAATTATTTGAGGAATATTCGATGTTAATGTATATGCAATTGATTTTTTTAAATTCTCAAATAATAAACGACCTTCTTCAACACCTGTAATAATTGAAGCAAAACTATCATCTAATAATAACATATCAGCTGCTTGTTTGTTAACATCAAAATCAGTAATATCTATAACAAATGATCAAATTATTTGCATGAAATAATTAAATGAACGAACTCAATGCTACACCAATATCAGCTTTTTGTAATGCAGGTGAATCATTTGGATCACTTCCAGTCACGACAATAATTTCACCTTGCCGTTGACATCCTATAAATTTCCATCAAAATTTTTCTTTCTAGAAACAAAATTTCAAATAACCTTCAACAATAAAAAGTTTTTGTTTTGGGTAATATTCGAGCAAAAACAATTTCTGAATAATTTCTCAATATATCATCAATCTGTGTTAGTGTATTATCTTTGAGATCATCTCCATGTATCACACAAGCTTTCGCATCTCGAGAATTAACATTTTCTGTTATGATACCAACAGTACGAGCGATTGCTTTTGCTGTTATCGGATGATCACCAGTTATCATTATCACTTTTATTCCTGCTGAACGACATTTTGCAACGCTAAAAAATATAAGTTAATTCAGGATGAGAGTAAACAAAAAAAATAACAAACGCTTGAGGAACAGCAACTCTCGATAGATCCATCATTGATATAAGACCCAGAAAACGAAGATTTTTAACAGAAAAATTAACTTGCTCAACATCGAATTGATAATCGTTTGGATAGTTGTCACTTGGTAAATGTAAATCACAAAACCGATCAGATATTCACCTAAACTTCCTATTTCCATATAGACTTGTTGAAACTGATTTTGCCAATCTGTTATATCCAATGATTCAAAATTAAAACAACGAATATAACTTACAACAATTCATTTCCATATCTTCTCCATTAATAAGAATAGTTGAACATTTTTCAAGAATTCTTTCCGGTGCACCTTTCATAACTAGTAAATAACAAGAATGAATATCTTCTGATTGATGGATAGCAGGAATTTCATGTATGGATAATTGATATTTATTTGTGGAATTAAATGAAATTTCACTAAATTTTCTATACGATTGACTGACATTATCAATCTGAATATTTTCTACCGATAATTCTGTCCATTTCAGTAGTGCCGATTCTGATGCATCACCATCACATTCAAGTTGTAAAATTGGTTTTGATGAATTTTCCAGATCTTGTTTAAATCCAGCTCGATTACATAATAGCACACAACGAGAAAGTGTTTTTTTTTGATAAAGGTATGTGTGGCATTGTCAGCAAAACAAATGGCAAAAAGAAATTGTTTAGTGAGAAATATGGATGCTGTACTAACACTTGGATCAACATCAACAATTTATGTAGATAAAACAGGAATATTAACACAAAATCGAATGACTGTTANCGTTACCGAACATCTTAGCTACTTCGGGATTTCGAGTACATGAAGTGAATGCTTGAAAGGAACGCAGTGGTTTTGGATGCGCAAAATAATCCTCTTGGAGTGAAGCAATAAAGTCATCAGACAGTTCGGCACCACGATAAAGTACTGCGTCTGATTTGGCCATCTTGCTATTGAATGGATTGTCCCATGGGAGTAGACTAAATGGTCCTAATGTCCGTACCTTACTTCGCCAAACCTGTTCATGCTCTTCACTTCCTATCAATCGCATGGCCTCATTCAATTTCTGATACAAGAAGCTTGACAAGGAATACAGTTTTGCACAACACCTCCATACTTCTTTCATTCCCAATTCTTTTTTACCTAATAATGTCTTTACTATTTTTTCAGCATCATCTTGTTTTCCGATCTCCTTTCCCTCTTCAATAATACCCAAAGCAGCTTTTTCGACGATCATTGGAATAATTGCTTCATTTTTCGACGGTAATTGATCTTTTGTAAGTCTGAAATCTTTTACTACGGCTTTTATGAAAGGTGAAATAAAGCCGTATAAGCCACCACACGGACGCTTGGGAGCGATAGGATTCGACGTAAATCTTTCTTTTCGCGAGTATTTATCATATGTATTGCATTCCATTTGTTTGATGATCTTTATTTCGTGACGTCGCTGTTAGAGAGTTGAATCTTCTCTCCCAAATCAATCTAACAATCATCCGAAAAAGAAATGAATACTCATTGATTTCAGTCGATTGTGCGTCAGTCTAAATGACTACTAAACAGTTACCTACTCATCTATATCTCCATCTACCTATAGATTCAACTGTATATATCAGTAGAAAAACTTCCAGTGTGGACTATTTGCGTAAGTCATTTGTTTGGTGATGATAAGAGTCACAAGACTTCGATCTGCTGTTTGATGGAAGGACTTAGCCGTCGCATTATGTGACTCATCTAGTCTGATTTTAGAAATTTAGAATTTAGTTTTTGGCCACTTTAACTCCTGGTTGGGATTCCACAAAAATGTAGATTGCAGCTCTCTACAGGGTACCAAGTTAACTGAGCCTTGTGCATGCCTAGTCAGCAGAGATCCTCTCGTAATTGATCCAGACAACAGTATATTTTAATTGTTCTGAAATTGGGAAAAAGCTTATTAAGCCCTTATTAATTAAAGAAAATGTCTGGCATGGAGATTCCTCAGCGTCAACAAACTCTGGTCAAATTGGTTAGAAATTGTAATTGATGTTAATAAATAGGATTTTCTTTTTCGAAAAAAAATCTGACAACTATCGGGTACCTGATAACATTATCATAGTCTTCTTTTCTCCCATCGATATACTCACTTTGTGAGCTCTCTTTTGGAAGTGATATACTCCGTCTTTTGTGTAAGAGAAACTGCACTGATAAACTGAATGTAATTGAAAAAGAGAAAAAACAAGTTGAGGACAAAAAACAAAAACAGAACAGAACTCCACTTACCACCAGATATGAAAATATATATCCCAGATAAAGAAAGAGAACGAAAAGAATATTATCGTAAATGACATTCTGTCAAGTGAAATAAAGAGAACGACGCGAGAACAATGTAGACGTTTGGTGTTCATATGATATCTTTGTGTATTCTTGTAATATGAGTAAAAAATTTTCATTACACCTCGGTTGATATAGTCATACGAAGAGAATAAAGAAGATTGTCTTTCTTATCGACTAGGGTATGGGTGTGGGTGGGTGTGAGTGGGTGTGGGTGCCGGTACGAGAGATCTCATCATCCACACCCACACCCACACCCACACCTGAAGTAGGTGCCGTTCTGGTCTTGCAATCACTCTCGGTTCGTTGACCTAACACGACGTTTGCAGCAGACACGATAAACGTCAAGATCACCAGAATTCTGAATGCCATTGCAGATTACTAGAATAGATAGTATTGATTTAAATGCGTATCTTACTTTTGATTATGCACTTAAAAAGTGTTTCTTACTGATAGGTGGTACAATCAAGATCAATTTCTCATGTAAAACGAAAACGACAAAACAAAATCTGATGATAATCAATTTTCATCATAATAGTCAGAAAATGAGAGAGAGAGACGCTTCATCTACTATTGCATTTATCATTTGTCGACGAGAAGAGTTTGAAAATAATGAGAAGAAACTTTTGTCTATTGAATCATAATTTATAGATCTAGATTTGGAGAACGGTTGCAATCTATAAAATCTATGAAAGCAAATGCAAACACACACACCTATCGGGAGTGGAAAACCTCACTTTCGGAATGCTCTGCGGGTTGACAGAAGATTCTTATCCTATCAAATGTCTTATGATGATGTCAGTTGGGTTTCTTTCAACTAAACCTATTTTACACACAGTAACATTCATGACAAGTTAATGAAAGATTCTAGTTTTTTTTTTGAAAAGAGACTTCTATGTGTGTTATGATCTGTGTATCTTACACAGTCATACATCTTCATTCTCCTCCTTTCTTCTTTCTGTTTTCCGCTGTTCTTCTATATGCATATATGTGCGTAGATATATCTTTTTCTTTGGTCCATTCTTTATCCATTTCTTTTCGCTGGATTCTAGCTGATTTGTTTTGTGTTGTTTAATTTCTGGAAGAATAAACAACACAATTCTTAACAATGTGCAAAAATAAGCAATCCAAATAATCGAACTGTCTTATTTTTCTTGGTTTTCTTCGCAATGATGCGTCGTCGTATGATATATAGTGTCCCGAGACCGCGCATGAAAAGAGGGAGTTAGATCCTTTTTTTTCTTTCGTTCTGTGCATCGGTAGAAAAAACGATGTTGTTTTTCTCGTTCTTTATTCTATAAAGTTGCCTTCTATCGTCTACCATGTGCACCATTTGCATACAATTCCTTTTTAGGCAATGTCGATGAAGTAAGACGTTTTATCGTACTGTCATTTTTAGTATAGTCGATCAGTTATGCCTATTCCACACCTTTTTCTCGATCAATTACCAGTCGAAATTATCTTCGATATATTCACATACTTAACTGCTATCGAAATTCTTCATTCGTTTTATAGCTTCAGTCGATATTTAAGACAATGTATACGAAGTTATCAACAATATAAAATAAATTTCACATCGATATCTAAAAATGAATTTGATCGAATATGTAACGTTATTCGNAAATAGTGATTTGGAAAGCCCTTGAAAATCTCTATCGAATATAGTATGAGCCAGAATTTCTAAAGAAACTTAGTGAAGAGAGTTTTCCAGAAAACCGTTTCAACTAAAAATCGAGTTTTTGAGAGTTTTGACAAAAAAGTTTTTAAATATAGTCATCTGAAAGAGCAAAAAATTCTGAGCAAAATGAGTGGTTGTCCAGCTCTCCACGATGTTTCCTCGCAGAGTTATAAGCACCAGAAAAATGGAAAAAATATGTCTTTTAGCGGTTTTTTTTATTAATTCTGTAATTTTTTCCATTTTTCTGGTGCTTATAACTCTGCGAGGAAACATCGTGGAGAGCTGGGCAACCACTCATTTTGCTCAGAATTTTTTGCTCTTTCAGATGACTATATTTAAAAACTTTTTTGTCAAAACTCTCAAAAACTCGATTTTTAGGTGAAACGGTTTTCTGGAAAACTCTCTTCACTAAGTTTCTTTAGAAATTCTGGCTCATACTATATTCGATAGAGATTTTCAAGGGCTTTCCAAATCACTATTTAGATTTTACCTAGCTGTCCGTTTTTGTGGAAAAACTTCAAAAATAAAAGGGGTCTTATAATTTTGGTACACCCTGTAGTATCTTGTGTTTCTTTACTTGCGACATAAGTATTGTTATGGCCAGGAAGACAGACAGTTCGCTAACGCTAACATCCACCCAGGAAGCCATGTGAGAAGATGACGGTTGAGGATTTTGCGATTGATAGATGTTTGTTTGTCTTACGATGGTTTCCATCAGATTTTGATCGAAGAAAAGTCGGAAAAAGTCGACAGGATTGTGAAGTTGGTTATAAAGTAAACGTCGATTTATTCCTGATTGCGAAGAATCGAAAGAATACAGAGATGGTGAAAAAACACCCTGAATCCATTCTCTGTTTGAAGAAGACAAACCATGTGTTGTACTAACACTACCGGTTTGAGAGGAGTTCTCATATGAAGGCTCATCAATATCCAGCGACTCAGAGTCGTCGGTCTCATCAAGATCGAGATCCTCTTCCGAGTCAGTTTCGCTTTCAGAATCCGTTTTTGCCTGAAATTCCGGGTCTTCGTGTTCAGATAAGCGATGACGAGCAGCCATCCTCTGGGAAAGAATACGCGTTACAGATACAAGATAATATACTAGAGGTATATGATGCAGTTTACTGTACTCACCAATTGTTATCTTGAAAATGTAGATCTATATGAAATACGTACTGATTTACTATGTAAGACAAAAGATATATACATATATATGTATATATATAACCGTGAATAGGAAGAGAACTTGCGAGAAAGTATCAGAGAGATATCACGAATCATCAATACAAAAAAACAGAATGAGAGAAAAATGACGTCATTCGAACATTCTAGAAGGAGAAAAGGATCCACGCTATATCATGCACGTAAGCAAAATAAAAGCACATGTGAATGGAAGACGTGTGTGAGAATGTTGTACTATGACACTACCGAATGGTAGAACCGGACATAAAAGACACAACTGCAACTTCTACAAATTTCCTAAAACCATCAGTGCCATTGGTCTTGCTATCCTTATCTTGGATAGAACCCCTCAAATATTGGTTCTAAGTTGTGTTTAGAGTCATATCAATATGAGTATACAATGGAAAAACCTTACCGTCCCATATATGGGACACCCGTAGCGAAAGGGTTAAAACAATGACGACGCTCTCTAAATAAAAATTTATTTTTTATCTTTAAAAGAAGACAAAAAAAATAAACGATGAATAAATTGAATAATTGATCTAAACTTTGGTGCACACGATTTATTTAAATCTTTGATGCTGGTTTTTTTGCTAATAATAATTTTTATATGATAACATTTGTTCTGTTTCATTTATATCATTTAATATTAGTTGTATTTGTTTATTAAAATCTGTAATTCTTTATAGCTATTATGTTAAACAAAAATAAAAGAAGTTAAATGTTAAATATCTTATAAAAGACAGCGACGAGTCGGCAAAAACTGGTTAGTTTTGGACAGAAGACGGAGAAGCAATCAAGCACATACGGACATTCGAACATTTATTATGAATATCATTTTACTTCATCCATAAACTATAACGTTGAGTAGGTTCTAACTGTCTTTATTAAGTATTTCACATAGGAATTTTATAGTGTCTTATTTATGAATAAATCAAGTACACCAATCATAGAATGTATGCTTTGCTTTTTTTTGTTTGGCATATACTGATTTCGAAGACAAACGATCTTGTAAAAAAAAGAAAATTGAGGTTGAAGAGAATTTTGTTTTGATAGATAATCATTAAATGTGAAATTTATTAATGAATGTTTTGATAAAAACCATTGAAGATTAAATGAATTTTTATTTTGTAGAATTTTAGATAGGCATTCATTTAATTGAATTGAGTTTGTTGAAAAACTTGTTGGTAATAAACAAGAATTGGTTGGATTAAACATAAATAATTGGAAGTTCATCTGTTTTGATATAATGA